GCAGGAGGTAGGGTTTCCCCCCCCCCCCCCCCCCGAACGTCCCATGGTGTCTCCTTGTATTCACAGTTCTCCTGCTTGCAGGGTGGCCTCGAGGCACCATGTTGGTGTGGTTTAGGGTTTAGGGTTTAGGGTTTAGGGTTTAGGGTTTAGGGCTACATGCCTCAAGGTTTCCATACGCGAGGAGGCCTCTTGGAAGCGTAATGAGAAAAAGGTACGATCGACCCAATCCTGGCATCTCGCAAAGAAGCAACGTTTAGGAAGTGGGGGGGGGGGGGGTCCAACTGCGCCCTGGCCCGTGGACCCGATGGGGAGCACTCCTATAGACAACTTCGTACCTCATACCCAGGTAGAAAGATGCTGTTTCTTCGGAAGATAACAAATGAATGTTCAAGATCCCCCTTAGCCCCTTCCGCCCGAAGCCCTGGCCCATGAGGATCTAATGGACAGGGTTGCGTGCAGGAGTCTATACTCCCCTGAGAACCTTAATAACAAAACACATGTTTTTAATATCCTCTTGGGTTTTATATAAACAAAAGTTTAAAAAAATCCCAAGTGGGAATATAGGAGTGGCCATGATGCCCAGCTGCAATGTAACCTTCGCTGATGCATGGAGAGGGGCGCAGCCCCTGAACCTGCAAAGCCTGTCAAGTGAAGCCTAAACCTAAACCCTAAACCCTAAACCCCAAACCACCGAAACAAGGCTCGATAAGATCCAGACGGCAAGACATCGGTGTTTTGGGTCTTAGAGAGGCGGCAAAGACAAAGAGCACCGCCATGTACAGAACTGACCCAAAAAATGGGGCTGACTTCTCATTCGCCCTGCAGGTTTAAGCTCAGATTCGAGAGCAGAAGCCCTTTGTAACCTCTGCCATGTCACCTCTGAAGCACTAAACCTGAAAACCCTGAACCCCCAACCCCCAACCCCCAACCCTAAACCCTAAACCCTAAACCCTAAACCCTAAACCCTAAACCCTAAACCCAACCTCTGGATAGAGCCCAGGGCTCCCGGCAACACCTCCTCCTAGCACTTGGAGTAGGGACAGAGCGAGTGCTTCAGCGGTTAGAGGTTTAGGGTTTAGGGTCTAGGGTTAGAGGGTATAGGGTTTAGGTTTTAGGGGGTTTAGGGTTGGTTTAGGGTCTAGAGTTAAGGGTTGATGGTTTAGAGTCTAGGGTTTAGGGTTGCCATGTTCATGGGGCTAAATGATAATTAATTGAACTAGGGTTACCAAGTTTCTTCTAGGGTTTAGGGTCATGAAGCTCATGGGGGGGGGGGGGGGGGGTATGGGACTTATAGGGTGTAGGGATACCAAGTTTGTTAGGGTTTGGGGTATTTTCATGCGGGGTCAATCTTGAATGTTCGAGACTGGAGTTGCCATCAACCCTCCAAGACCTTCCGAGATAATACAGGGAACCCATGTAAGAAACGTGCACATCAAGACATGGGGGCTGTTTACGCGGGAGGTCGATTGGGGCCTGGGTTTACTAGATTGTTCTCGCGCGCGAGGAGCCCACCAGTCTACCAGTCAACCGGAATTTGCAAGAACGAAACGAAGTGAACGGAGACCTTGATACAAAGCACAAAAACTTTGTTCTCTCGCACTCGCTCTGGCTTGGGTGGTTGGTGGAAAGCTTGAAGTGGTTTCGGGAGTTTGTGATTAGGGTTTAGGGTTTAGGGTTTAGGGTTTAGGGTTTAGGGTTTAGGGTTTAGGGTTTAGGGTTTAGGGTTTAGGGTTTAGATTAAGGTTGAAGACTCATGTTCCATCTCTCTCTTTCTCTCTGTCTCGCTCTTTCTGTCGTGCTTGCTGGACCGCTTTTCACTGTGGGGGAGAGATGATGGAGGGAGGAGGCGAGGAAGGGAGACATAACATGTACGATGCAATGCGCCGTGAGCTCACCTCAAATTGAACATGTGTTATGCCTCATGCGGTTTAGGGTTCAAACTCGTCGCATGCATCTGTCTGACACATTGCACACGCGCCATTCAACCGACGCAATCAATACAAACTCTAGGACGCATATGTGTGTGAAACTGACTTGCAACACCAGAGATGGACACACAAACAGTCTCACACCCGTGACAGCGAGACCCTGTACACTTGTCATCCAAAACCCTTAAACCCTAAACCTTAAACCCTAAACCCTCAAAGAGCCTGGGAATCATTTAACGTGGCCTCAACAAGCGGGATCGACACTGGTAGCTTTGCTGAGGGAAGCGCCCGCCCGAGCCTGAGTGGAGTTAGGGTTTAGGGTTTAGGGTTTAGGGTTTAGGGTCTAGGGTTTAGGGTTTAGGGTTTAGGGTTGAGGATTTAGGGTGCAGGGCGTAGGGTTCTCTCCCAGGCACTCGCAACTTCAAGCCTTTAACCCTGAGCCCACTTGTTTTTGTGGGGAGAGGGGTGGCCTTATAAGTATGCAACACTTTTCTGCTTGTTTACTCGGAGTCCTTCTATCAAAAGGACACCAAACAAAATCTTTCGTTGGCAGCCCTAAACCCTAAACCCGAGCAAGCCCCGACCGCCCACTCCCAGAATGCCACAGGAGCCTCAGAAGAAAGTACAACCTCCATACTAAACCTAGGATGGCCTTTGAAACCCTCTGAAAAATATTCCTGAATATGATCCTCTTAAACCTCAATTAGGGAAAACAAGAAATGTTCCAGGGGCCTACCTAGAAACCCAAAACCCTAAACCCTGGACGTGGAGACTTTATGGGAATAGAGCATCCATCCCGACTTTAGCAATTGGACGTTTAGGTCGGCCGTCCAGACGGCTTCTGGGAAGGGCTTCATATGGCATAGATTTGGGGCCCTTTAGCTACCATTTAGGGTTTAGGGTCTAGGGTCTAGGTCTAGGGTCTAGGGTCTAGGGTTTAGGGTTTAGGGTTTAGGGTTTAGTATTAGGGTTTAGGGGCTACCACTATAGGAAACCCTTAAGGAGAAACTGTCCAGTAAGCCCTGGAAGGTCTAAGCAGAAACCAGACAGGGAAGCTGTTCGAAGGCCCAAGCATCTACGATCTAGTAACCTGTTCAAGGCTCAAGTAGAAACCATGTAGGCCCGAGGAGGGTGTAGGGGTTGTTAGGGTTCATAGGGTTTAGGTGTCAGGAATCCCTTCAGGCCCAAGTATATACATACAGCTTTCAGATGTGCCTGGCCTTCAATCTGAAATCTTGATAACACCAGGACCCCTGCCCCAACCTGCAAACGTTCTCAGACTCACCGTGCATCGCGCGCACACTGCTTGCAGGTTCATGGTATTTATTAACCAATTAGAACTGTACTTATAACCCACTTATAAACCCCCTTAAGTGCCCTAAAATGGCTATAAGTACAGTTATACGCACAGCTATAAACCCTAACCCGAAACCCGAAACCCTAAACCCTAAACCCTAAACCCTAAACCCTAAACCGATCCCCTTCTGAGGGCGGCGCTCGCGGAGACAAACGGCTCAAGCTTCTCAGGGTTCAGGGGTTTACTACTACCTCAACCCTGAACCCTAAACCCTGAACCCTACACCCTAAACCCTTGCAAGGCAGAAATAATCTTCTTGTTGGGTGGGCGTTTAAGCAACTGGTTTGGAATGTTCCCCCTTAGACTAACAGTCCTTAATAGGGATTATAGTACCCCCTATTCGAATCCCTATTCAGGAATGTTAGTATAAGGGAAAAACATCCCAACACCCTAAACCCTAAACCCTAAACCCTAAACCCTAAACTAGTAGTTTGGGGGGGCCCAGGGGTTTAGGGGTTGAGAGGGACCTCAAGCCTCTGCCCCCTCGCGCCCGACCCAAAGGCGAGCCCGCCCTAAACCCTAAACCCTAAACCCTAAACCCTAAACCCTAAACCCTAAGCCCTAAGCCCTAAGCCCTAAACCCTAAGCCACGCGGCAAGATGTCAGCTGCACCCGAGCCGGTCGCCTGACCTCCGGGGTTCAAGCGTTGGGGTCGCGGATTTGTTGGCCCCAGAAGGCCCAGCACCCCTTACATTTCAGGAACATACCTGACATCATAAGGATTCCGATATCAGTTAAGGTAGAGTCCTTAGTTAAGGAATGTACCTTAAATCATGTTACGGATGCCTATGTACATCAAGGTAGAGTCCTGAACTCCTCATAGAAACTAGGGTCGAGACTTGGGGGTGTGTAGGGAAACAAACTCCTCGGTTTTGATGAGTGACCCACACTGAGCGAGCATAGGGCGTTCAGAAAAAGGGGCCCGAAATACTTCTCAAGGGCTTAAAAGTGTAAGGTTCCGGTTTCGGGTTTAGGGTTACGGGCGCTTGGCACCTCCGACGTGCACGCATCCCGCACGGCTAATTCGGTGCGGGGACCGCTTAGTCAAAGAGAGGCTTCAATTCCATCGTTGGGCTTCTATACACCTATAGCCTTCCAAAGCCATAAGGCCTCAGAGGAACTTAGTCAAAGAGAGGGTGTGAGTCTATACGCTGTAGTATAAGCCGAGTCCTGAACCTCTAAGCTACATGCCAAAAGTCCCGTCCAGGGTCTAGAACTATAACTTTCATGAGGGGCCGTTGTCTAGCCTGTGCCCATCTGTGATTGACCGGAGAGCCTGAGGGAAACATGATCAGCAGCCCGGTCGCGTCTCCACCTTGGCCAACGGGGATCAAGATGGACCAAGGATACGGGTCAAGGGCGCAAGGAGGATCTCGTAGCAAAGCGGTCAGTTCAGGTGATTGGGTCTGCAAGCTCTGATCGACCTCTGTCTGTCCTCTAGTCTGCCTTTTCCAGCTTCGCATCAAGCTGCATCAATGAATCAAGCTCAGCATTATGGGTGGCAACGCGGGCGAATGCAGATGAGACTTTGGGTGTTTCGTACCCCTAAGCTCCTAGTTTAAGAGTTTTTGGGGGCCCAAAGGCCTTACTTTATAAGGGCTTCTTGGGCTATTGTGAGCCTAAGGGTGCAGAGTATACATGTGCAGCTCTTGTGGTGTGAGGCTCGTGGTTTCGAATTTGTCGTGGGTGACACGGCAGCTCCGATCTTCGAAGCATTAGTCCTCCTCTGGGGCAGTGCTGGCTCCCTCCATCCTATACTGAACTTGTCTTTAGAGTTTAGGGTTTAGGGTTTTAGAGTGTCTTAGGAATGTATAGTATAGTACCCCAAAAACTAACAAATGTTTCCAAGTACCTCTATAAGCATCATCTCATCGGCCAACTTGCGGAGAGCCTTTGCAATGAGCTCCTCAGCTTTCAGCGACCGAAGGACCAAACAAAGTGCATACCTTTTTTGGGGGCTACCTACCTATTATAAGGAACCCAGAACCCCAAAAAGGTAAGAAAGTACACGACTGAACAGCCTAGGTTCATGAAAGACGTCAAGAGGTCGTGCACCGAACGGGCTATGCAGCGTGGTGGTGAGGTCATACAAAGCGCGATAGGACATGTTCCAAACCACCAGAACAAGTATGTCGAGGTACCACTTGGGCTGCTCAAAGAGGGCGCCCCCGAAGCTGCGACACCATATCGACCACTCGACTCCTTTCCATGTGCACATGATGAAGAGGTTGATGTTGACTAACATCCCCACAAGGGAGGAATAAGCATATGGCTTGTCCATCTCAAGGCAGCCCATGATGTCGTTGGCCTTGCCCCGCAACGTGCTGATGTCTTCGGAAATCTTGGGCAACGCTTGAGCTGGAATCAACCCCTCCTTCTCAAGCATAACGCACTTCCTTGGGACGACATGAACCCATGAACCCTAAAAGGGCTAATGGTTCATATACCTTACTAGGAAGCATAGAAGTATAGGGTACATGACCCTAAACCCTAAACCCTAAACCGTCCCCAAGGCTCTGCTGAATCCAGGCAATGACCGTGGTGTGGCGATCGCCTTTCACCATGGCGTCCCACTCTGTCGGCAGCGCCAAGCCCTGCTTGCACAAGTACTCGCCTGGGTAATGGCCCCTGGAAAAAAAACCCTCTGCGCAAGATTTCTGTGAAGTGATATCCTCTTAAGCCCACTTAAGGAGGGGGGAGGAGGGTGTATATATATATATATCTATCTATATCTATATCGATATCTATATAATGTCCCAAGGGCCGACCTAGAACCCTATAACCCTAAACCCTAAACTCTAGAATGTCTTAAGGGCATACCTAGCCGCATGTAGCTTCCGAGTCCATGCTGCCCCTGGCCTCAGCTTTCCAGTGGCCCAAGGAGATAAAAAAAAAATGTACATACATTTTTTGGTCGACCTTACCTAAGATAGGGAACCCAGAGAACCCCAAAAGCAAAAAAAGTACAGGGTTTAGGGTTTAGGGTTTAGGGTTTAGGGTTTAGGGTTTAGGGCTACTGAACAGCCTCGTGGCCTTCTGCATGGCCAGCTCGAAGGCAAGTATCACCCACCGGCCGATCCTGCGCCGCGTTTTGCACAGCGCCTCGTTGCTCTTGTCAACTGGGATGAACCTAGGATGGCCCTTAGGAGGTTTAGGGTTTAGGGTTTAGGGCTAGGGCTAGGGTTTAGGGTTTAGGGTTTAGGGTTTAGGGTTGAGGGTTGAGGGTTGAGGGTTGAGGGTTGAGGGTTGAGGGTTGAGGGTTGAGGGTTGAGGGTTGAGGGTTGAGGGTTTAGGGTTTAGGGTTTAGGGCTAGGATGGCCCTTAAGACCCTCTGAAAAGTATTCCTGAATCTGATATCCTCTTGAACCCAATGAGGGAAAAATATGAAATGTCCCAAGGGCCTACCAACCCTAAACCCTAAACCCTAAACCCTAAACCCTATAACCCCTAACCCCTAAACCCTAAACCCTAAACCCCAAACCCTAAACCCCTAGGAACGTGGCCAGCTGAACGATGAGGTTGCGGACGTTTCCGCACAGGGAAGCATAGGTCGTCCTCCGCGCATTCCAGGTCCCGACCGTGGTCGCCACAAAGCCGGCAAGCACAAAGGCAACCAAGAAGCGGAATTCGCTCTTGGCATTCTTCCTAGGCTGCCCAGTAACCTAGGCTTAAAAAAAGGTGGCCCTTTTTTGCTTAAAGGGGTAACAAAGGGAACCTAAATAAACCCCCCCAAAAAGGGAATATGGATACTACTGGGCATCCTAGCTTCATCGTCTCCTCGAGCTGGCATATTTGGACGTTTCCGGCATCACAGGCCTTCCCCTGCCCCATTTCTCCGTCTGGGAAAGCCGTAAAGGCCAAGATGGTCATCAGAAGGAGGGCGTAGAAGAGCGCGGCCAGATGAGGGATCACGTTCAGCACTGAGTTGTACCTACTTCTCCAATAACCAAGAGGGGGAAAAAAAGGGGTAAAGTTTAATATTCCTAATAGATAAGGAAACCCAGAAAGTTTAAAGTTCAACTAAAGGCGAAGGAAGGTACACCGTCAGATCTCGCACCAAGAGCGGGGCAAGCAGCGTCCAGGTCTTCTCGGGGCTGTATGTGAGAAGTCTTGGGATGGCTCCAAAGAAGCCAGCTTCGTGCGTGAGAACTAAACCTTGGCTGACTTCTGAAGCCCTGCCGAAACAGTGTATAACGTCTAGGCTCCTTATACAACAGGTTCCCTAAACCCTAAACCCTAAACCCTAAACCCTAATGCTAAGAGCCAGCCAGAAGAAAGCCAAGCAACCTCGATACGAGCGCAGGCTCGGCGTTGGCTCCTTCATCGTGGTCATCTCATCCGCGACTCTCATTCGAGAGCCACGTGTCGAGTTCGGCTTTACTTTGAGCCAACTGTCGCTCCACGCATCGTAAGGAACCCCGGGGGGGGGGGGGGGCTGGTAAGGCAAGGGGGGGGTGTAAAGGGGTTCGAATTCCCTCCAAATGCCTTTATAGAATGAGCGGCGGCCCCTTACCAACCCTCTACTGGATCCTTGTATGGTTGCGGCAAACTGTGCAGGAACTGGGAACAGCTACCCACATGCTGTGACTCACAGACGTGTATGATCTACTCTGACGTGGGCAGTGAGGGGGTATCCGAAAATAGGGTACCCTCCCATAATAAGGATAGTATTTTGGGGTATATTAAGCTTTCAATCCCCAAACCGAAAACCTACAACCCTTTTGCAACGAGCTTGCCACTGGCGAACTGCCCTAAAACCCTACACCCTTAAACCCTTAAACCCTAAAACCCCAAAACCCTAAAATCCCAAAATCCTAAAACCCTAAAACCCCAAAAACCTAAAACCCTAAAACCCTAAAACCCTAAAACCCTAAAACCCTAAAACCCTAAAACCCTAAACCCTAAACCCTAAACCCTAAACCCTAAACCTTAAACCCTAGCTGAACCCAAGCTGCCCTTTCTCATCATGGGGCTCGGGCTCCAGGGAAGCAGCACGGCACCTGGGGCGTAGACCACGACCACCACAGGAACCTCGGGGGGTTTAGGGTTTAGGGTTTAGGGTTTGGGGGTCATCTAGGTTCTAGGGCCTACAGTTCGGAAGGCTTTGCATCTAGGGTCTAGGGCTTGTAGAGGGGCTTCGATTGTCTAGGCGCTGTCGGTCTGACGGGTTTATAGGGCGTAGGGTTGAGGCTGCCAGGACGGGCTATCATACCCTTTATAGAGTTGATTATGGGGTTATATTTTCGGGTTTAGGGTTTAGGGTTTAGGGGCCCAATAGCCCATCCTAGATGAACAACGGGAAGGTGCACGCTCCGTATTTTAGGGGCTCGAGGAGGTCGAGGGGCCGCTCAAAGTAGTTGTAGACCCCCCCACGAAAGGGGGTTTAGGGTTTAGGGTTTAGGGTTTAGGGTTTAGGGCTTAGGGTTTAGATTTTAGGGTTTAGGGTTTAGGGTTTAGGGTTCGAGAACACGTTTGGATGACTCCAAATGTTCTGGCCAGCTCCTTATACACATGTCAGACACCATGTTTACCCCCCCTAAGCTCCATATCCCCAGGCCCTTTCAAACCCTCAACCCTCAACTTTGCACTTGGTGCCCCGGAGATCGTCGCTGTGGGCCCGCCATCCCTCAAACAAAGTAGTCTCATATGGCAGTCGGACACCGCGGATTCCTGTGATGGTACCGGAGAATCCCTAAACCCTAAACTCTAAACCCTAAACCCTGAACCCTAAACCCTAAACCCTTCTCCTAACCCGGCCTTCATCTGCACCCCCAGGAGCACCACCTCTTCAGGGCTTGTAAAGGCCCGTTGTGTTCAAAACGCAGAGTTTGGTGTAGGGTTCAGGGTTCAGGGTGTTTGGGGGTTTAGGGTTGGGCTGTTCCCCCTTCTAGTAGCAGCCCAAGATAGGGACTATCGTACCCCCACCACTACGCGTAATCCCTATGAAGGACTGAAGGACTGAACATCCCAAGTCTAGGGCTTCATAGGGTTTAGGGTGTTTTTGCCACCCGCCTAGGGTCTGCTAAGGCTTTAGGGTTTAGGGTTCAGGGTCTCGGGTTTGGGGTTTAAGGGTTTTAAGCATGAATCCGCCATTCAACACCGCCCTCAACAAGTTGAGGGCTTATTGGGCCTCTGCCGCTTCAAGGGTATGCAGGGCTAGGGTTTAGGGTTTATAGGGTTTAGGGTTTAGGGTTTAGGGTTTAGGGTTTAGGGTTTAGGGTTTAGGGTTTAGGGTTTAGGGTTTAGGGTTTAGGGTTTAGGGTTTAGGGTTTAGCGTTTAGGGCTTAGGGTTTAAGGTTTAGGGTTCAGGACTCAGAAAAAAAAAACAAAAAGCTGCCTGCCCGACGAAGGCATCCTGGTCCAGGCCTGAGACGGATTTTTGGGGTTTTTTTTTGCCACCAGCCAAGCTGACTGTAACTCCTAATTATGTGTAGGGTTTAGGGTTTAGGGAATTGCTTAAGAACCCCCAAAATGAAAACTCCCTCAAAAAATATGTATATAGCTCCTTCTAAGGGTTGACTGCAACTCCTCTATGCTTAAGAACCCCCCCCCCAAAAAAAAATGAAAACAAAAACACAGTTCCTTGCAAGGGTAGCATAGGGATTCTCATCTTGTGTATATATATATATATATTTGGGGGTTCTTGAGCAAACAGTAGGTAAGACGCACTGCAGGGTCACACACACACACACAGGCTGTTGCAGGAAAAGTCAGAAACAATGGCAGGCGAAACATTGCTTCGTCGGCCCATCTCCAAGAGATTTTGAAGTGGATCTGTGCATTTTAATGGCTTCAGGGCTTGGGGTTTAGGAAGGGTTTAGGGTAGTTTTCTTGCCAGAGGACTCTCTTGCGGTTCCAACTACTCCAGAACTCTCTTGAACCCCACCCCAACAACCCAACATTACATGCTTTGCTCTGTCCTCAGCAACTACGGAAGGGGCCCTTAATCTGATTTCCCTAAATAACCCCTCTATACACCTTGTATAGTTCCTGTATACCTGAGTAGCCCCAATTCGACTCGAAGGTCCCTTGTAAGGGTCCCTTCTTTACAGCCCCTTGATTGGGGCACTTTCTTGGGCACAGTATCCTAAACATCGATCTCCGTACATAAGAGGAGTTCGGGACCATGATTGTTAGAACCACTGGCACGGTTTAGGGTTTAGGGTTTAGGGTAACTTGTTCCCGTCGGCAGTTTGACAAGTTGGGATGCCGAGGGTTTAGGGGTTTAGAGTTTCGGGGGGCCCTCTTCGCCTAATTCCCGACCCCTGTTGACTTCAAAGCAGTTGACCAAAAGGCTTCCCCACAATTCCTAGGATCCAGGTGCTGGGTGTGATACGCAGATTCTGCCGGTCGACCGATTCCGTCGAAGTGGCACCTGGCTTTTCAGGTTTAGGGCTTGGGTTTAGGGTTTAGGGTTTAGGGTTTAGGGTTTAGGGTTTAGGGTTTAAGGTTTCAGGTTTAGATCCATCGAAGTAGGGTGTCAGGTTCCTTGACCGCTTCGGGCAACTACCCGCGCACTATGTTGCGGCGTGAGCATGCTGCAAATGGCCCGATGAAGTTCTCCCTAAGGGTCCATGTACCTCATTATTATATACTTGGGCCCCAAAGTCCCTATATAGGAAGTACTCTAAGGCCTAAGTATTCAATATTTAGGTACATGGACCCTTCGGGTCTGGTAATTGTGTAAGGGTCCATGCGCCTATGTGATATATACTTGGCGGCCTTACAGGGGCTGCCCATGTAGTAGCTTTAGGGCCTAAGTATATACACCCTGAACCCTGAACCCTAAACCCTAAACCCTAAACCCACCCTTAGGGATTGTGTGCTTGCAGACGCTGTGTGAGCTGCAGCGATGGATCTACGCAAGGGCTGCGCCTGCGCAAACCACAGCCACATCGGCTCCTTCCAAAGGCAGGGTTTAGGGTTTAGGGTTTGGGGTTTAGGGTTTAGGGTTTAGGGCTAGGTGGGGTTAACCTATAATAGTTAGCAGTTAGCAGAACCCTTGCCCATTTTGGGTAATAATACCACCAGTCAACCCATTAGACGATTATTCCTATACTCCCCCCTACACCTCACCAACTATATCACCACTACTACCCCATTACCATTTCCAGTATAGGAATAACCGATTACCTCATCCATATAAGAGGAATATTCCTATACTCCCTACTACAATCCCGCAAATATTACCACTACTTCCCCATTACCAAGACCAGTATAGGAATAACCAATTACCTATCCATATTCCCTAAGGTGGTATTATCATCCCAAAGTGGGCAAGGGTTCTCTCATAGATTTTACTAGCTTTAGGGTTAAAGGTTGTAACCATAATATACTCATAATGCAATGCCTCTTATATAGTATGTTTATATTATACTTATAAATGCATTATCCGATATAGTTTAGAGAACGAACTGTTTTCGCTGGTTTGCACTGGTTGCTTACTGTTGGTATCCTTTACCTCATCGTTCATAGGAATTTCAATGATGACCTTATTATCCTGCTTACTGAATATCAGAAAATAATTCTCAAGAAGTTCATCATTAAGCAATAATTGTCGTGCATGGTTAAACACATGATCAATTTCTGACGGCTTACCATCTTGCTTTTTGTATTTCTGACTATACTCTTTCCTCTTCTCTCTGCATTGAATACAGTTTGCAAATAATTTGTTATTCTTGCTGTATCCGAATTCCTCAACTGTCTTTTTACTGTGACACCTTGAGCATTTAAGTTTTGAACCTTCCATGTTATATATAAAGGACACTATCCTTTTAAGTCATTTTTGCGTTTATCGTTGTATGCTTTCATACTGTCTAAACATTCACAGCAAGTAACAGTGGTTCTAAACTGTGATAAATACCTACCCGTTTTACAATGATAATATCTTTTGAAATGCACTAAATTTTGAAATTTTTTACATCTAACACACTGCCTTTCACAATGAGGAGGGTAATACTCGGTATTAAAATCCATAGTTATTTTATCAACGTATATTGTCATATTATATTATTTTACAATATTTATAATAATTCACGAATTATGATAAAAAAAAAAACACCACCCCATACGTCTAAATCTGCTTCCGCAGTTATTTTACCTATACTGTTAAAAGTCTGGTTATTCACGACCGCTCTGTTTATTGTAATTCCGTTAGTGTCATTTAGTTGAAGTGCTATTGTCCCTGTTGTAGGGTCGGTTATTCTACTTGGTTGTAATGAAAAATTAATCTCTTCTGTTGATATAACATTTAATGAATTATTAACGTCCGCTCGTTGAAATATTCTTCCATTATTACTTACATAAATATCACCGTTAAATGTAGCAATACCATTAAATCTTGATGTAGAA